GAATATTCACTCTGAGTTCAGAAGGAAAATAATATGACATGTGGAATGGATAAGTTTGAGTGCTGGTGGCCGTCTGCTCTTCACTCGCACACATACCTATATCAATACATCCATTCAACACCTCTCAGGCACACTCACACACTCTCGAGGGAATAAAGTGCGACAAATCGTTCCGACATTTATTTCCTTTCAATCGGAGATGAAAGTTAGGTGGACCTGCAGGCGGACATAAGCGTTAGCTCATTACAGAAGAAGTCGCAATCCTTTACGATATCATTTAAATATTTGATATTGCATTGATTTTTTGCAATGAAAATAGAAAATGAGTATGATTTACTGTGACTTGGTGGTCTACTGATGGATCGAGAAAAATGAAGTACTCTTCAATAACTATACAAAGTCATATAGATATTCCGTACAATGAATCTTACTCATGGTTTCCTTGTTGGGCACGAGCATGTGTTAAAGTGGTCATATACTATCATATTTGTTGCTGAGGATGGCCCTTTCTTCTATCTATCATTTTCAATCGTCTTACTAGCATAGAAACCAGGTGTGGGTGAGGTTATGGACCTTCTCTTTCATCTTAGCAACTAGGGCTGGCGGGTTAGCATTAGTGTTAAGAAAATTCTAATACTTTTGTATTAAAATAAATAATTCATTTAATACTTTTGTATTAGGGTTAAAAAAATAATTTAATGCTTTGGTATTAGTGTTAATTTTGTATTAAAAAAATGCTAATACGTATCATGATTATGCAATTCGTTTATAGAACTATCATTGTAGGTTTACCGTCAGCTTCTCTATAGTTGCTCAGGTCGATCGTTCCGGTCACCGAATACTGCAGGAACCGGCAGGAAAGACGCGGAAAAATCGCCGGTTCCTGCAGGAAAACACCGGAAATCAACGGAACATGAAAGCAGTATTCCGGCCGGAAATTTTTTGGACTTTTTCCGGCGGATTTCCGGCCGGTTCCTGCCGGAAAGAACAGGAATTGGCTGGAATTCACCGGAAAAAAATCCGAAAAATTTCCGGCCGGAATACTGCTTCCATGTTCCGTTGATTTCCGGTGTTTTCCTGCCGGAACCGGCCGGTACTTTTCGACCTGGGTGGATTTGCTTTGTAACATTTCTATACAGAAAAAATGTCATGTATGCACCAGGATGACATACATGTACACTTATAGTTCTTCAGAAAGCATAAATAATTTTATCAGATATCGATACTGTAAAAGAAAAACTCAATCTAAAGGTCATTTAGCGAGAATGACTCATATATTACTTGACTTTCATATGTAAGATGCCAACATGACTGAATATTTTTCGATGAAACATGCAAAGTCTTTTTTTTTTCATTATAATGATTATTATTCTGTAAACGTTTGCTTAGTATGTGATGTTCCTAAGCTCTATTCACAGCTATAGAGCACAAAAAATTCATTCGAATAGGATCACTTCATGTGTGTCACCTCAATAAAATATAATTATCTAAATTTAGCCGTGTAGATTTGATTATCAATAAAAATGAAAACATGGTAAATTTGTTGAACATCAGTTGATTACATTTCTAGCTATGAAGTTATTTTAAAAAAACATTAGACACTGAATATCTACTGTTAGTTCATCAGATCACACGTAATAAAATGGAGAAGAAAAAAAAATTATACACATTCTCTGTTTGATATTAGTCTATATGCTTTTGATGCAGAAAGAGAAGGCAAAAGAAGAGAAAAGAAAAGACTATGCATCACCTCTCCGGCAACTTATCATAAATCAAACCAAAGAGAACGACTAATAGTGTTATGCTTTGTTATTATTATTTCTTTTTAATATTTTTCTTTGTTTAGTTCGTCCGCTGTAAAGAACGAAGTCAGTGTTAAATAAATGCTTTATTTCATAGTCGTCATTATTCACATAACAACTTCGACGTGTTTTCTTGCTTTGTTGTTTCTATGTCTGGTGCAAATAATCATTTTCACTCGAGTTTGGATGCTTTGCCACCACATCCTCCAACTCGTTCTAGCAGTTTACGAACTCGATCATCACGATCGTCTACTACAAATCGTATCTTGCATCATACATTGCCTAGTCGATCTCCATCATCATCAAGAGTTGTACGTCGAAGACGAGAATCATCTATAAGTAAGTAAATTCACTACATGAAATAAATGAATATTTCATTTTGTGTATCTAGGAAATTATTTTAACTATTTACTGCAGCTTCTGTCAATGTTTATGGATAATAAGACATACTAGTAACAGAAAAGATGTAAATATTTTCAAGTAAATGTTAGATAAAAGCACCATGATAAAGAGTCTTAGCATCTTTATATATTGCACAATAATATAATTATTCAAGTTTTGTGTAGAGGACAACATGCGGTGTTTTCATTCTTGCTGTTACCACTTACCCACGTAAAACAATTAGGGTAATAATCACATTAAAATTGATTTAAAAATGATTAAAAATCGATTCTAATCATACGCTTGTAATCAATTTTCTATCATGTTTTAATTGATTTCAATCAAATTGAATCGAAAAAAATCAAAATTCTATTAATTATTAAGATTAATTTCGATTATAATTGATTAAAACTAAAAATTTCATTGTAAGCGATACAAATCCATGAAAATCTGCTGCAGATTATTTTCAAATCTCGTGATGCAAAAATCATTATATTCATTTATTCTATTAAGTTTTAATCGATTACAATCGAAATTAATCTTAATAATCAATAGAATTTTGATTGGTTCGATTAATTTTGGTGAAAATCGGTTGACAGCGTATGATGATAACCGATTTTTAATCTTTTGCTAATCGGTTTTTTTTCTGACTTTTTATCCTAATTTTTTTACGTTGGTACATGGAAGAAATATCAACAATATTTCTGTTTCTAGTTTCAGCAATAAAAATTTCTTGTGTTTAGTAGACTAAGTCTAATGATAATCTCTTTCGTGATTTTCCGAGTGCACTGAATATCATGATTTGGATGGGAATCAGAGATGTGCACCAGAGCTCGAAAACGAATCGAATCGAATCGAATCATTCGCCTATTCGGCTTGTCCCAGCCGAATCGAATCGATTACGAATTGAACATCATCATAGGCGAATCGAATCGAATCGAATAGTTCCTTTTTTTTGGCGAGTCGAATCGAATCGAATAAAGACAGTAAAACAGCGAATCGGATCGAATCGAATTGACCAATGTGCTGGTCGAGTCGAATCGAATCAAATTTTTTCTGACTCATTCGGTTGACAACGCCCTCTTTTGTTTTTCTTATATTTAGTTATGGACGAGTGCATATGAATTGACATAAAAGATAACCGTAACAAAGAACGTGTTATCTCATTCATTTCTTTTTCTCGTTCAGGCTAAACGGCGGTATAATGTTAGTGATTAAATTTTAGATAAATGTCACAAATAACTATGTTACACGTTGACGATACTTCATCATCTACTTCTTCTTGTGCAACACCAACTCGTACATTATCTTCAACAACATGAATTTATTCAACATCTTCTATTCGACATGCATTACTTGGAGATAATGAAAATTTTGAAGTAATTTGTAATAAAAGGAAGCAAGCAACGGCATCTAGCTGGAATACGTTCGATTTCCGGCAAAAGTAAAGAATGACAAAGTACAAACATATGAAGTTATACCCGGTTTCGTTTCATGCAAAACATGTTTTGATACATACAAATATATAGATTCCAGCACAGCTAATTTATATGGTCATCGTTGTCATCGAAATGAATCATCTGATCAAACTAGTATTAGTTCATTTATTCTTTCTCCTCGATCAGGAAATCATTTTTCTAAAAATCAAACAAAAAGAATACCCTTGATCCATCAACAGGCAATGACATTATTTTTCTTCGTTCGATCGAAAATAAATTTTCTTAAATTTTTTTTGATTTATCCAAATATGCTTCACTATATGTATCTTTTTTTCTTGTAAAAATAAATAATTATTATTGATATATTTGGAGATTATCAAAATTATATTTTTATAGAGACGAGTGAGAATCGTCTATCATCACGGGGAGACGATATTGTCGAAAAAGCTATAGAAATTTAAAATTAATAATGTGGCTTTTTTCATAGAATATAAACCGAATCGAATCGAATCGAATTGAAATTTTTTCTCTATCGAATCGAATCGAATCGAATATTAAAAATTGAAAACGAATCCGAATCGAATCGAATTGCGTAGATCTTTTGTCGAGTCGAATCGAATCGATTAGGGATTTTGGAAAAGCGAATCGAATCGAATCGAATTGAACCCAAGTCCAGTCGAATCGAATCGAATCGAATCTAACTTTTACCAATTTTTTCGCGCTCTGATGTGCACCTCTCGCGCGGGTGCGGAGTGCGGGTGCGGAGCGGCCGCACTGCTCGCGCGGTCCGTCCGTTCCGCTCTGAGGAGTATAACTTATATGGGTGCGACCGCACCGCTTCTGAATTTTGCGAGCGGGACTGGTGCGGAGCGACCGTTCTCGTTTTATTTATCGTCCGAGCGGCCGCTTGATCTTAATTTGAACGTTTTATTAGGGAATATCTTCTGAAGTTGAAACCGACGAACCTAAACTACAATTAATGTCGTACAGCAATATTGATGACTTTTTCTCTTAAATAATAATGATAAGTAACGAAGGATTGACTTCGTACTCATATTTGATACAAAGAGCATTTTAAAATCCTATGCCGGATGGATTTTGATTCTCAAAATACATTTGTATTTTACTGGGGGTTCGATGGCACCATTTATAGATTTTCTTGTTACTCCTGGCAATACAAATACTATATAGATAAAATGTTGACTTCAACTTTGTCTTTTCCATTACAATTTTATATTTTAAGTTGTCTATTTTTCTTTTTCTAATATTTATATAAATAGCTACAAGTGTATGAAATCCTTGGGCAAAAATGACTAATTTTAATTAATCTGAAGTATGAAAATCGGCAGAAAAAATTTATTTGATAATTTCTTTTCTCAAATATAGCAGTTGTATCATCACCATTTTTTCTTTATGGTATTCATGTTATGCCCATAGTCATCTGATAAGATTAGCTAAATTCCCTCCCGTAATAGAAGCACCCGTGAGCTTCTAAACTTTACACTGTTCAAAGCTTTTGGAGGATACTTCTATTATCGTGTGGGCTACTAACATGACTTTTTTAAAGAAATTTCGAAAAGTATATAAAGGAGTCATTGCTTCAATCATTTTGGCTACCTATTTAGGATAAGTTCAAAGAATCTTACAACACTGGAATTTACTATAAATATACAAAAAAACATTATTCTAACGGGTGATTGAAAAGAAATTCCAGATTTTAAATCTTTTCTTACTCTCAAACAACAAAAGATATCGTCCTGATTTTTTCACGATTTTGAAGCATGCACTATGTTATTTTATTCTAGATGAAAAAAAAACGACTGATCGCTTGGCTATCTAAGAGCAAACCCAGATTTTGTCTTGACAACATCTAGAACAAACTCATTAGTTTTAGTAGTTTATTATTCTTGTGCTAGAACCAGGATGTGAGTATATGGGATTAGGTGAGCATTTTTGAATTGTCCGAACATACATAATAACTTCACAAATACATCCAGATGCATACCTGACACCTATACGCACACTCACACCCACATCCTAGTTCTACTATCAGAATAATAAACTACTAAAACTAATGATTTTTTTTTCCAGATGTTCTGAAGGCAAAATTCTGGTTTACACTTAGACAGCCAAACGATCAATCGATTTGTTTCATCTAGAATAAAATGCCATAGCGCATGCTTCAAAATGATGAAAAAATCCGGACGACATCTTTTGTTGTTCGAGAATAATAGAAAATTTAAAATAGGGAGTTACTTTTCAATCACCATGTATGTCATACATATACCAAAAAACATAAGTACTATTTCATGTAATGAATTTTAAAAAAGAATGAGGTGAAAAAAATTGATGTACAAATACACATAATTAGACTACTTCTTCCAAAAGAAGTTTAATCTAGTGAGTGTAGTTGTGAGTTCCGGTGTTGGTGAGTCGGTGTGGATGTTTCTCCTCTTTTGACTTACACCTACAA